GGACCGTAACTGTCCACACCGCATGCGAACACGTTTGGTGATTTAGTTAATGCAATTAATGTGGCATAACCACCGTATGATCCACCTGAAATGTTCTTTACACTTACTTATTTCTAAGCAATCAAATATCGCGAACAAAATTACGACACTGCTCGTTGTTACTATGTTTTGCACTGGAAATTATCAGTTGCCGATCATGCTGCCAAGGAGCTGATAGAAATTTTCATAAACTTCTTGCAAATTAAAGGAGGTTGTAGATCTAACTCAGGGAGCGCTCTCAACCCGGACGATATTATCCACCGGTTGGCGAGAACGATGAGCGAAACTTGTGAAAGAGTTTATATGTGGGAGAATTTGAATCGAGTGCGCGACTTTGGATTTGATTTTGAGTTATTGCACACCAGTTAGTGCTCACAAAAAATTTGATTGCTGGACGTGACTTCATATGTGATATTTTTGGCTGAAATCTTGTGCGGACTGCTTGACGAATACGGAATATTTGTTGCCATACACGTACAGTCTGTGATGTTTGCAGGCGTTTTTGCATTAGTCTGATGCTCATACTTAACATTACATAATGATCAGTGCTTTCAGTCTTCTGACTCGTCTGCAGACGTATAATTAGGAATCTAGTAGAAGGGAAGGGAAGTTGAGTGATTTGATTTCACTCTTAAGTTGAGAGTGTGTGAGATTGAGAATCACAGATCTAAAGAAATGCTGAGAAAATAAGATTTGCTTGATGAGTAAGGTTGATGTTGCAGTGCACTAACTGACCCATAATTGCAATCTGCGATCGGTTTGCAATACCGTGACGAACTACAAAATTAACCGCATCAATCAGATCGTAGTGCATTTTTCGACCCCATTCACCATTACCAGAATTTGCAACGCGCTTTCCGAATCCCACACTTCCACGGAAATTCACCTGAAAACAGTCACGATCTAATCATCAATAACAATAACATAATATTAATCGCATAAATAATATAAGAAGGGAAATGACAATGTAAAATGGAATTCCTCCTCTAGATGTTGAACATTTAACTCAAAATACTCACTGAGAACAACACTTAATTTTTTGGTTTGATAGCGAACCTGTAAGACTGCATATCCTCTGTTCGTTAGCCAGAAATTATCCCTTGAGAAACCGAATCGATCACGGTATTGAGGGCCACCATGCACATGGATGACCATTTTCTGTGGTAAAGCAGGTAAGAGTCCCATTTTAGCATATTTTCTTTCTTGTGCATTCGCGATTTCAGATACTGAACGCATCTTGACCTGTTAATGATAACGAGATCAAACCGTAAGAGCGGAACTCTGTCACTAGAGCAAATGTGAATGTTAGCATTCGCAACTTTTACATAGAGATGGATCATTATTCTGACTCAAAACATAGTCAGTGTGTTGGGGGGATGAAAAAAATCGGGTAGGAAAATTCAACCGAGGCCTCGAAATTATTGTCACTCTGAAAAAAAGATGGGAATAGGGAGCGAAGAAAATTAAATTTCATATCGACTGAAAATATTCGGAAAACCATTCCAAAAAATACTCAAGAAAGATGATTTCAGTGATGTTTTTCGAAGCAAGAAAGAACCAACGTCAGGAGGCAGGCTGAGATACGCTTGAATAGTGAGATTATCGTGTGTTTGAAAGTCGAATCCGATCATACGACCAAATTTCGCATTCTTCAACTCTCTACAAGTACCGAACAAGAAAGCAACTTTCTTATGTTGACGATTATATATGAAATATTCTGGTGGATTTTGATCTGTTAGATATGTCACTAACCAAACATTAAAATCTGCAATTTGAGAAACAAATGAAGAGAGTGGTTTTTAGCAGTGATCATCACAAAAACAATGCAAACGAGAATGTGCAAATTTTGGAAATGAATAAAAATACTAATAATAATAATACTAATAATAATATTAACAATAGCAATAACAACCATATTAAAAACACGCAGTAATAATAATCACGACGAAAATTAATTGTAATATGTTGAATTATCATTTAATCATAGCATTCCGCAGTAATCAAAATCGGGCAAATGATTCCCCACTAATCAGCATGTTCTTTATCCCATTTCGCTGAGTTCTGTTGGGTGGACAATGAATCAGCTTTTCAGGATATCACATTGTCAATTCTCAGCAGTTTTTAATAAATAAACTGTGGTAATGGTAATAGAATAGTAATGGTAATAGCATAGAATGGTAATTCTATGCTCCAAGCCACTTTAGAAACTGACTTATTTTCTTTTCACTTTTTCACTTATGTCAACGAACCGTGATTGATTTGGACGACTTTTTTTGACATTTATTGTTACTAATTGCTGAATTCAACATAATAACAACTCACCTTGACTAGTTCCAACAATACGAAGTGAATCATTCGGTTTGAAATTAGTTAAATAGTTCATATCCTCTTTGATTGTATCGTTCAGAAGGTGATAAATGGGTTTGTGATAAGTCTGAAAGTTGATGTTTNATAAATCAATTGCTCTTGCACCGTAACTGAGTTACGGTGAAATAGGAGCAGTTTTGTTGTATTCTCGTCATGAACTTCACCTCAGTGACTGCAAGAATCGTTTTGTCGATTGGATGTATGAAAATATTCTCGTAGAAATCATCGGTGCTGTAATCAATTTCTGCTTTCTTCGCCTCATATAGCACCTTGTAGTGGCTCGGATCACCAAATTTGTGAACGACAAGTTTACCTCAAAGATACGAATGATTATTTGCCGTTCGAATGTATCTCGCTTAATATGAATGTGTTGTTCATTGAGTCATCGCAAAATTATACGCATAATAGTTTGGCTAATACGCATAACACAAAATAAGAGTTCCTATCAATAAATCTACTTATGAAAATTTATCCGATATAGATGAAATTTTCTAAATCGCTAGTGAAGAGAATTTGAAATTTATAGAATTTGTCTTGATAATTTGAATGATCTCGACTGTTTTTCGATGAAGTTTCACTAGAAAATGCCCACCCAATTCACTGCCTTCTGCCCATATCCAGTATGCGTTGTCATTGTCGAATGTAAAACTGACTGGCCTGAAATGTGAAATATGAAATCATTTCAATCGAATGATTACTGCGGATACACTTCAGTCCCTTCGTATTGAAACAGTGAATTAGAGCACTGAAATTACAGGAATTTAAGTAGTGATATTTACGAATGAGTGAATATATCATTTGTGATTTAAAAAAGCAAACATTGTTATGAGATAATCATCTTTGGTCACTCGAACGTATTCGTTCCAATCTTCATCAGAGCTTGTTAAATTTGAAAGATTAGCACCAGCTGAGATCGCATAATAAGTGAGTGTTTCGTTTGGAGTTTCGGCTGAAAATTGGCTGATTTTTAAAAGTGACAAATTTGATTGATCCTGTGGAAATACAAGCATGAAATGATTCGAAAGGTGTGATGAACTCTACGAAAAAAACGAATCATTTCTATCCATTAAGGGACTCAATTTTTTCAGCCAACAGCCAAAGAAGATTTGGAAATGTAAGTACTTAAGTAATACTTATTGCCGATCAAAATGCATGCGCAGACAATATATAACAGGAAATGCGTGATAGCACTAACGTAAGATTGTAAAGACCAATAGAGGAGTGAATCAATAGAATAGTATGAGGATACTCATAATAAAACAATATTGTAATAATGATGATGGCGTTGTTCATGAAATCCTTGTCGTTTTTATGTACGAATAATTGAGTGCTCTTAAAAAGTAAGCTAACGAAATGTACTGAATGAATGAATGGAATGAGTACCAGACACATAACGTAGTTTGAGATCATTATCGAAGAAGTACGGCATTGAAAATCGGCGATTACGTAGTATCAATTGAGCTTCATTTGTGATCAAATTGAACTCATAGAGGTTATAAAAACTGAAATTCCACTTTTTTGCTCTTTTTTCTTGTGCACTGAATCTGCTTGTTCTC